CGACTTTACACCCACAATTAAACATGGCATACAGAAAAGTTTTTTTAAATAAACACTTCCACACAACCACTTATACTCGGAATACCATTCATTCTGAAACTTTCGAACATACACGTTGTCTTTTGACTTCCCCTCTTTTCCATATCAAGAGAATAAGGCACAGGTCTCTCGCAATTTAAAAAATCCATTTTGTCCTCAATTTTCCATCTGGAAATTGGCGTTTCCAATCAAACACATACTGGATCATACATAGGAAACATTTCTACAATTATTAACAATGAACCATTATAATCGTGCACTGGGCGACATGTATCGTATAAACTGTTAAAGGCAGGCGATGGGTGATGCTGCTTCAATTTCTGCGTCACTAGTACCGTTCCCCAACGCCGTGTTTAATCACGTATTGGCCGCCTCGTTGCCATGCAACCACCGTAAACAATACTATGAAAGAAGCAGAATACATACTGATTTTAATCTGTATCACTTGCATATATTATACGTTGTATGGTCCGAGGATGATGTTCGCGCTCAACAAACACAATATATTTTCAATATAGAATTATACCTAAATTATAAAATTTATATAAAATTAAAAATAATTTTAAATTGCACAACGGAAATTTTAGCGTCACTTGTGTCACCTGACGAGCCGCCTCTGTTATAAAGAACATTTCTAGTAGTGAATCATTGATCCATCTCATCTGCAGTTTTCAGTGATCTACTTTGGCAGTTTTAGTGATTTTGCTAAATTTGTCGCCACTGTTACAACACTATGTAAATAGACTTTTCGCAGAACCCACTTGTCCAGTTAACAAAAACGTTGGTTACGTCGCATCATAATAAAAAAGAAAAAAGTGATGCAGATAACAGGCAAACTTTGCCTATGAAGCTAGAAGTGCTTGAATATAATCTGTAATATAAATAAAACGGGAATCGACATATCTATATGTTGTTCTATATTTAATAATTTTTGAAACCATCTAAAGTTTAGATTCTAGACACCCATATAATTGTATTCCCTGCACACCCACATGCTGAGATTGAGTCACTACCAACTGTTTTGGCCCTAGAGTATATTATGCACATACATAATTAAAACAATGCTTGTGATCCGAATTTTTGATAATCTGAATCCTGATTATCAAGACTTTGCTACATTTCAATAATATAGTCTCATTATATTAAGTTCATAACTAAAACATGTAAAAATTTCAAAGGCATTTTGGTTTTTTAAAACATCTTAAAAAAAAATTCGATAAATTTAAATGGATCTAGGTAATTCTTTAAATATTAATTTGCAACTATAAAAATATACCTGGTCTGTTTGGCTCCAGAGTGTGTCAGCTGGATTATTTGAATTAGAGTTTCCAGGAGAACCAGTCAAACTTATTAAATTTCTGTGGTCGACATCCTTGCCTCCGAGACTACTTAACGAGTCCTCAGCTTAGGAAAAAAAAATTGATGAGAATTGACATTACTGGGTACAACGTCGTATTCTTACCCAAATCTCCACCAAGCCCGGGCAACACCCGGTGATCTACATCAACCGCTCCACTCGGTTCCAAGTTATCGTGATATTCCACGGGATCACGATAGCCCTCCTTCTCAAATGTGGGAGGACTCTCTGGCGTGTCAGTCTCCTGAACTGGATTCCATGACGCGTCAGGCTCCCAAGTGGACAAATCCTCTTCGGGATTGTATTCTTCGCTGGGAGGGTAAGGATTGGCACCAGCGGGCGGTTCGAATGACTCCTCTAGAAAAGTTGACAAGTTTGCGTTTTGCGTTGTATTGTATCCCGCTGTACTGGTTTCGTAAGTTGAAGTTGATGTGAATGTATTGTCTAAGAGAATAATAATTGTTGTAAGTTGCTCTTAGAAACTATGGTAAGAATAGATAAATATGTTTCCTGCACATGAATATAAAATAATATAAATATTTCCTTAATATTGCATTGCACATTCAAAAATTGGAAACAAGTTAAGACAGAAAAGATTTGCACCATACCTCAAAAGTACTTTCCTTGGATGAAAGTTCATGTCAACTTATCTTACCATATTAAATTTGGTAATTGGAAGTTTTTGGGGTAGCCAAATTATAAAACAACATGAATATAATGTTATTTGAATTTGAAATAAGTATATGAATATGTCATTTGACAAAACATAGGGGTCACTAAGCCAAAACAGTCTTGTCTTTTTTGTCATATTTTTTCTTGTTGGCATGGGTTTTAAAGAAACACATCATGCCTAAGGCCAGATTTAGCCTAATTTATTTTTGGCAGAAAAAATCTGAAACATTTTTTTTAGTACCTACTGTAATTTCCACCCTAAACGGACCAACCCCCTCACCCTTCTTTACCTCTCCACTCCTTTAAAGGGGGAACTAGCGCTTATTAGAGGAATCTTTAAAAAGCTTAGAGATGCAAAAGACATTCAATTCCTATGAATCTCATACATGAAGAATTTTTTGGATCGCTGATCACGGATCTGGTCTCAGAATCGTGAAATTCAAAATGGCGGATCCAATATGACGGACAAGAAAATTAAAATGTCTTTAAAATGCATGAATTTTTTTGTAATGGGGTTTTTTGGGTCTATGATTACGAATCTGGACTCTAAATCACGAAATTCAAAATGGCGGATTAAATATGGCGGACAAAAAAATTAAAATGTCTTTAAAATGCATGAATTTTTGTGTAGTGGGGTAATAGGAACATCCGAACACACGTTAGCTTTAAATAAAATACAAAATAAAAAGATAACAATTATATCAACATGTATGTGTATATTGACTTCAGAATCATAATTAGTGACCCAAAAAACCCCTCAACACAATTTGTGCATTTTGAATACATTTCAATTTTTATACCCGCCAAATGGGATACCCAAAGACACAAAAACCCCCGACACAAATTCGTGCATTTTGAAGACATTTTAATTTTTTCCGCCATATTGGATCCGCCATCTTGAATTTCGAGATTCTGAGACCAGATTCATGATCAGCGACCCAAAAAACTCTTCATATGTAAGATTCATAGGAATTGAATGTCTTTCGCATCTCTAAGCTCTTTAAAGATTCCTCTAATAAGTGATGGTTTCCCCGGCATTTAAGGGGGTGGAGGGGAAAAGGAGGGGGAAAGGAGGGTGAGGGGGTTGGTCCGTTTTGGGTGAAACGATTCAGTATTGCTAGTAGGTACTACAAAAAAAAATTTCAAATTTCTACAGCCAAAAATAAATTAGGCCAAAAACCGGCCTTAGGAGCCCTCCTCCTAAAGTAACAACAACAAAGCAAAACAAATAGATACCAGATCAACAACAAAACAAAAATGTAACAATAAAAAAACCTTATAAAAATTGTTCGAACTGTATTCCATCTTGTTGAATACATAATTGACAACTTCTGGCTACCTCAGACGTAGCGTTTGATATTAAGTTTGGAGGTATTTCACGGCAAACGTTTATAATCCTCTCTCTTAAAATATCTACATTTTCTGAATGTGTCAAAAATACTTGATCTTTGAGATATCCCCAAAACCAAAAATCTGCGGGGGTGAGATCAGGAGAACGGGCGGGCCATCGAACAGAACCAGTCATTCCAATCCACCTTTCATCAATATTAGCATTTAACCAATTAGTGTTTCTTCTAGCATTATGCGGGGGAACACCATCTTGTTGAAAATAAATGCTATACACTTCTGCAAGCAGTAAGGTATCCAAAAAGTTTGCAAGATTTTCTGACAAGAGTCTATGATATTTGTCTTGAGTTAGAATTCCATCGATGAAAAATGATCCAATTAATTGATTACCTAGAATACCGCACCAAACATTAACACCGAATCTCCGTTGGTAATTGGTTTCAACAGTTATTCTGGGATTTTCTTGACTCCAATATCGATGGATATTTCGGTTAAAAATGCCATTATTACTAAAGGTACACTCATCTGACCATATAATTTTTCTCCAAAATCCTGCGTCTTGTATCATATTTAA